CTTTCCCAATATAGCTTTCTTTTTCACTTGGAAATCATCATAGGTTCCACTTATTGTTTACAATTTGTATAAAAGCCAGAGAATACTTCTCTCTTCCTGCCTACTGGCATGTGCTTATGGATTTTATTCCAAACTTAAATCCTGTAAGATTTTATCCATAAGTAAAGTATCGAGCAAGCAATCTATTATTATTTGCACTGTCCTGTCTGTCTAGCAATCATAGGATTACAGGAAACTAGGGCTGTAAGGGATCCCACAAGACCATCTAGTCTAACCCCTGGCTCAAGGCAGGATCACTCCTGACTAAACCCAACCAGCCAAGTATATCTAGTGTGCTTTTGCAAGTTTCCAGCATGGAGACTCCATAATTTCTCTAGGTAGCCTGTCCCAATGCCTGACCTCTCTCATAGGCAGAAAGGTCCTGCTAATCATCATCAGCTATCACAGGGGTCAACAATGTTTTTGGGCAGTGCCAAAAACACCCACAACCTTGACATGTAAGATATTGGTGTGCCAGAGGAGGACAGCAGGGGAGCCACAAGGGGCCTGAACCCTTCCCCACCATCCACCCTGAGGTGCACGTGCACCCACTGCCAGCAATGAGCTGGGCCAGGGCCCACAGATCCCAGTGCAGCCCCTGACAGCCTCTTGGCTGCCTGCCACAGTTGGCTCAGGCTCTGGGCAGTCCCCTGCTGCCTGTCATAGAGCTTGGACTCCTCAGTAGGGAGACTACAAGCAGCTGAACTGGGGTCCATAGAAGGCCAGTTCAGCTTGTTGCTGGTGGTGGGTGCATGAACGCCTTGAGGTAGACAGCAGGAAAGGGGCTGGGGCTGCACTGCCACAACAAGGATTGGGTCCCTTGCTGTTCTCCCACCATCTGCTCCAAGGCACGTGTGTCAAGCAAAATGCCTTTGCATGCCATGCTCTGGCATGTGTGCTGGGGGTTGCCTACCACTGAACTATCATCTTTATATCTGAGCAACATGGCAAGCAAGAATACTTACCATTAACACCAAAGAGTGGGAGCTTAATTAAACACTGGCCCACTGCATTCTATGCCCGAGAAGCAATTGATTTTTCTGTGCCCATTTGTGTCACAAGGTCCTCCACATTTATTTTTTAATTGGTTGTACAATATGATCTCTCAATTCCTACATAAGATACATTTCCATTGTGTTATTTTAAAATGTCTGTGCATTTATCTTTTTATAGATGGGCATCTACTGAAATCTCAGTTACAAGATTTTCACGGAAACTGGCATTTTAGGTGGCTCCAAAAAAATGGAGGCTCTGCGCTTTTTGTGGGCTAGCTAAAGTGAGGAAAGAAAAAGCAAAAAAAAAAAAGAAAAAGCTGCAAGAACAGAAAAGGACAGGAAGCCCTGGAGTACTGAAGCATGGGGAGAGGGAGAGGCAAAGAGGGGAGGGAGAGGCAAAGAGGGGAGGGAGAGGACAAAACAAAAAATTATTTTTTAAAAAGTCTGCAAGAGCAGAAAAGGGCAGAAAGCCCTTGAGTCCTGAAGAACAGTGGTGGGAGAGTGGCGGGGAGATGGGGAGAGGGAGCAAATCTAAGGCTGAGCCCCTAAGCCTCAGTCCAGGAGCAAATCTGGGGCCAGCCAGGGGAGCGGGAAAGTTTTGACACCAACTTTTAAAGCATCCACAGGCATGTAGCTGCAATATGCATGCTCCCACCTGAGGAGGAGGAAGGATGAATGCTAAGAAATCCTCTAAGAGGACCAAATACTGGAGCTCTCCCTAGTGGTGGCAGGGGCCCATTGCAGGGTTGCTGGAAACTTGGTGCAAAGAGCAGCAAATCTTCTCCCTGATCACCATATGTATAGACACATGCCCAAGACCACTTACTCCAGATTTGTTTGCAGCAGAGTAAATCTAGGCCAGGGTAAATGTAGAGTAAGTGTAGATGCACCCAGTCTATGACTGGTTTCCACATCTTTACACTCTAGCAAGACACTGCTTCACCATTCCTAAGAACTCAGTGGAACCTGCGCATGGTATCTCAGTGCATGGGCAAGTGTTCATCCCACAGAGAAAAAGAATGTCTCCAGCAAATACAGCTGGGTGCAATAAGCTTGCATTTAATACCTAGTATCAACTGCTTGTCTCAAGGTTAGCATTTAGTTTCAGTAAACTCCTTTTTATAATGTCTTTTAATAAAGTATACATAGTTGGTATTAGTTACAATTCATGTTGTGCATAGCTTTATTTTCATAAGATATTTCAGTTTAGAGTTTAATTAAATTATTAGATTATATTACTTAATAAAGTGTATATCATTGATGTTAATAGAGTGTATGTAGTTGGTATTAGTTAATAAAAGGTATATAGTTGGTATTACCTGCAATTCCTGGTGCACATAGCTTTATTTTAATACTTCATTTTAGAGCTTACTTAAATGCTTAGATTGCTTAATAACATGTCAATAAT